GTTAACATGGAAGTGTTGGGGTTGAGTTTTCTGAGCTATGGGTTTTTGAAGTGACCTCAGAGTGATTTTCAGTTTTCAGCACTTCTAGGAGAGTCTAAGACTTGGAACAGAGGAGGCCAGAACTGGGGGAGCACCTGGGAAGTTGGGGTGCCGGTTGTCCTTACGCTGTAACGTGTGGCCCCCACTGCTCTGTCTCTTTCAGGGTGGCCATGACATCTCAAGGCGGAAGTCTGAGTTCCAATTTAGATGATAACTGTCAAGTGAACTTTCGAGGGAAGCTTCTGATTATAGACTCCAACCTGGGGGATCAAGATGTGGAGCGCTTAAAGTTTCTCTGCCGGGACCTCATTGCCCACAAGAGCCTAGAGAAGTCCAACTCAGCCTTGGATATTTTTGATTATCTGTTGGCAGAGGAGCTGCTGAGCGAGGAGGACCCCTTCTTCCTAGCGGAACTCCTCTACATCATCAAGCAGAAATCCCTGCTGCGGCACCTCCCCTACACCAAAGAGCAGGTGGAGCGCTTGCTGCCGGCCCGCAGGAAGGTCTCCCTGTTCAGGTGATCAATGCCGCAGGGCCACTGGGCTTTGAAAGGAGGCTGGGATTAAGAGTTTTAATTTTAAAGATGAACGCACTTTTAAGATTTTTTTTTCCTTGTCTACCTTCCTGGATGGTTTGGTGATTCTAAAACCGGAGATTTCTCAGCTTCAGGTGCTAATGAGAAGGGAGGCCGGGAGGTCAGCAAAGTTTCAAAACCCAGCCCTGGGCCTGGGGGTGGCTGCCCTTTGTTTTGTCTCCCGCCTCCACACTGCCAGGGCCACGCCTTCCTGCTCGCCAGCCTCCATGCTCTCGGGCTGGCCTTCCTCCGGTGAGTCACTGCTGTGCCCACCTCTCCCCAGCCGTTTGAAAAGAGAGTAATGCATTCTGGGAGTCAAATCAGCAAGATAAAAAAGGAGATGTGTCTCTGGGGTAGGGAGGGATGTCATTTACGCCATGTCAAATACATTTTGGGGTGAAACCCAGAGAGGTAAAATGTAGGCATCAGACCTTAGACAACACTGTTTTAAATTGTCCACTGATCCAGTAGCTACATCAGACAGGGAAGAGCCTTTGAATCGTTACTTTATGGCCTGGAGGATAAGGATCTTGCGGGTCTTACCGCTCCAGTGGGCTCCTAGGACCCGAGGTAAACTTGGTCAGTGAGGGAATTCTGGAAATGGTTATTTCCACTCTTTTGGTTAAACAGCTGAGGAATGAATAGTCTCGGGCAAACAGAGGTGTAGTGTTCAGTTTTTCTCATTGTGGATTATATGCTTCCCCAGAATTTGGGGTAGTTTTCTTTCTTTTTGACAGTGGACTTTATAATCACTGGCATCGGGTCCTCTCTGATGAGGGCCTATAAAGGAAGCTGGAATTTCAGGAATGGAGTCCGGGGAAGGGTCGGCATGCCGGCATTGTGTTTTATACCTTCCTAGTGTGATGTGAACCAGCGCTGGACTGGGAATCGGAGGGCCTGCCCCTACTGCTTACTGTTGTCGTGATTTAATGGGTCACTTTGAAGCTCAAAGTTTTCGTTTTTGAATCTACAAAATGGGATTAATAATTACTCCCAGGCTTGTGATCATTCAAATGAGAGATAACGTTTATTAAAGCACTGAATTTACTGCCTGTTCTCTGCAAGTGCGAGGCTTTAATTTGTCTCTTGGGTGTGTGTCTTAGAAACCTGCTCTATGAACTGTCAGAAGACATCAGCTCAGAGAACTTAAAGAGCATGATCTTCCTTCTGAGGGAGTCGATTCCGAAAGTCCAGATGGTGAGTGGGTCGTACCAGACGGGGCCTTTGTAAGCATCGCCTGAATCGGTGACGTTGTTGGAAAGGGCTTTCAGGAGGGCTCGTTTGTTGCAGGAGACAGTGTCACACGAGGGTTGAGGAACACGGACTTTTGGTGGGCCTGGCGTCTAGTCCTGGTTCTGTAACTAACTCCTAGATGTGGGGCCAGTGACTGAACATTTCAGAGTCTCCATTTTCCCACATGTCATATTGTAGACAATTACACTTCTTCCTTCCAGGGCTGTTAGGAGGATTAGATGAAACAATGTACATAAACTATTAGCCAGGGCCTATATTTGGCACCCAGTAACCAGGATGTAAATGATTGACTGCTGCTGGCATCCACTGTGTTTTTCGAGGCAGAAATGTAGGGGGCACCACAGAGAAGCAAGGAGGTGGTAGATATCTGCAGAGTGGGAATTGGTCGTCCATCCCCTCCGTTAGCTGAGGTTTCTGAGGGAGCTGTCCTTTTCAGTGGACTTCACAGTGTCCCCCATGCAGACTTCGTGCGAAACTCATCAGAGACACGTGTTTGAAGATGTGCTTTGTAAAGGGCGGTACGGGTGCCTTGAACCAACAGTGATGTTTTTAGTATTAATGTGATGCTATCTGCTGATTCTCTTGCTCAGTGAGTCACATGTAAGGGCAGGAAAGTAGCTGCACACTGCTCCTCCGGGCCTCAAAACTGTCTGTTTTTTCTTTTGATTCTCATAACAGCTTGTGACAAGCAAGTCAGTAAATTTGGGAAGGGGCCAATTTTCAAATTTTATCCTCTAACATTAATTTTGTTATTCAACTGCTATTTTTTACTCAATTTTAAGTTATAAAATGCTTGATAACACCAAAAAATACATGTAACATGTATGGAAGTTATGAAACATAGCACTAGATGAACAGCCACAGGTCCCCCATCCAACTTAGGAAAGAGCACATCACGAATGCAAAGAGTCTACGTGTGTAGCCCTCCCAGATCAACTGGGATTGACAAAGAACTTTTTTTTAAAGGAAATATCACTGAGGAGTGGAATGCTTTTTTACATGTGTTAGGTCCAATGAGGACCATGTTTAGTAATTCATTAAACATGTTTCCTGGTGTCGGACCTATAGGTTAATTAATCTGAAGATTATTTCTGTGTTTTGGCTACAATCTTTGAGTCTTCTCTTTCCTTTTCAGAATGCTCAGGGATTTTAGCCTCTTGCATCTTTCCATTGGTTATCTCTCCAGGCTCCCTTGTGCCAAAGATTGGCTGTGGGTTCCTTGGTGGTGGGGGCTGAGTCTTACTCATCATTATAGCCCCACAACCTTGGAGAATTACCAAATGGCGCTGTGAACAAAAGCATGAGTGAACGGGAGGATGTAATCTTCCGCTTCTTTTTGAGAAAACGGCCTGAAGCCTTTCTGCTTCTGTGATTTTACAATGAATAACTGGTGGGGGGGGGTTAGCAGATGAACTAAACCACCAAGACGGGGATGTGCAAAGATCCTCTTAGAGCATTCTCATGGTTGTTGCCCCTTGTCTGAATCTAATAATTTTCTTCCTTAGGTAACCCCTGGAAGTTCTGATGTCCTCCTGTTTTTGTTTTTTACACACTTTTTCTTTTCTTTTTATTCTTAAAAAACAAACCCAACAAGATACAAGTACAGAAAATGACACAAAACATAGAGCTTAATGAATTATTTTAAGGCTAACATCCTTGAATCTACCACTGAAGTCAAGAAATTGAATTTTGCCAGCCACTCCAGAAACCCCTCCATTTGCTCCCTCCCAGATACAGCCCCTTCCTACTTCTTGGAAGTAACCACCATCCTGGCTCTTATAGTAACTATGTTCTCATGTTTTGTTATGGTTTTATCACTTATCTGTATATCTCTAGACCTCAATTTTGTCTTGACCAGTTTTTTTTTTTTTTAGTGTCTTTTCATCTGTAGGTTAAACGCCCATCCTGTAATCCCTTTCTTTTTCTTAAAATGTGTCTGTTGAAGAACCCCAGTACAACTGGCCCGTAGAATTTCCTACAGTCTAGGTTTTGCTGATTGTGCAAGTTTGGTGCAGTTTGGCCTGCTTCTCGGTCTTCCACATTTCCTGCAACTCGGGCAGCTGGGTTCAGAGGCTTTGTCGGACTCAGATCGGGTCCTTTTGCGAGACGAGAGATGGTCACATGTTGTGCTCATTCCTTGGGGTGCACACAATGCCTGGTTTCCTCTCTATTTTGATACTAGCCATTCTTGATGTTGAACAGATCTACGTATTGATTCTTTGGGGGTTGCAAAATGAAGATATTCAAGTTCTACTATTTCTATTATTTTACTTCCCTCTTACCTATTTGGTTACTTGGTAATACAGATTATATATAAGTCCTCGATACTTTCTTTATTTACTCGTTCAAGATAATTGCTGGTTTCCTGTTATTCTCTGAAAATGACCTAGTATAAAAAATACATAAATTTGAACTCATGGATTTAAAACTTTCTGATGAGTTTCAACCCACAGCAATTATTATCCTTATTGAAATTCAGATTGTTCCATTTTTGCCCAATTTCCTCATCAAGTTGGTTCTTGAGTCATTTTGACATTACTCTAGCAATATTTGATGACTTCCTTAGTGTGACAAGTTGTCTTATGTTAATTTTTTATGTTTTTTGCCCAGACCTAGAATCCAACATTTTTCCAAAGCCCTGGTTTCTTTTCATGAGAAATGTTAATTCAAGATACAAGTTAGATGCTGGATATGCTCATTGCTTTGGGGTTGGTGATTGTTTCTGTGGTTTTTTTTTTCCCCAAAAAATAGTGCTAGGAAATGTGTGTGCGTGTAAATTTTTTGTTTTGTTTCAAAGTAAAATATTTCATGAATTCATACTATTATTTCCAAGTCAAATTCGTGTTTTTAATTAATCTCTTCTGTATTATATTTGTATCTTCTTTTTTTCCCCGTTCTCATGTTACAGGGCATGATAAAATTAGTTATAGGGTTATTTGCTTTATCCCCTATTACATATACAACACTCTTAGAATATCAATATTAATACTTCTACCACCAATATAATTAATCACAAGATTGGAATGTTTATTTTGCATGTGCTACACCCATTTTCTCCCCATTTTTTTAGGGTTGAAATATATTTACATTGTCAGAGTATATAGCCACTGTATACTCCATTCTCTCTTCTTTTATTTGTTTGTTTTTGATGAGGGTAAGGTAATTAGGTTTATTTCTTTTTAGAGGAGGGACTGAGGATTGGATCCAGGACCTCATGCACACTAAACATGCCCTCTACCACTCCCCCACCTCTTTCTTTTAAAATTTTGCTTTTACACTCTCTTTTAATCCTCCTTTAGTCCTCTTTCTGCAAGTAAATATACACGAGGGGTCTGTGTGTATGTGTTTACAAGCATATCCTATAGGTCCGTGAGTTCTTGAAGAATCATAAAACCAGGGAATTTTGTTTTAGATAATAGTTTTTTAATATGCTTGAGTTTGCATTGGTGCAAAGTGATTACCTACTCATGTGACAGCATTTCACCTTAAATGTAGAATTTCTCAACACCAAGGGAGATTCCTGTAGTTTGAAAAGCTCTCCAGGTTATTCGGATAACATTCGCTCCCAGCTTTGGGCGTCCTCTCGTGATCTTCCCAGTCTCTGGGTTTATAGGTATTACATCTGTTGTGATGCACGGAAGTCCTTACTCCCCACAGTGGGGTCGGCGGTAAGAAGGGCATTTAATATGCTCAACATGGAGCCATGATTTCCCACTGAGAAAAGCCAGGGAATGTATTTCTTCCTCTGGGCCTTTCTGCTTAAAAGGCATCTATAGCAGCTCAAACATTTCTCGCCCTGCTAAATTAGCTTTTAAATCATCAAAGGCCCATGTCCAAGTAGCCAAATGATTTTATGTTTTTCTCACTCCGTACAACAGTAAAAGGAGAAGTCACTCTGTTTAGCTGTGGCGTAGAACTGTGGAATAACCCGGTCAAATTCATGGAAACTGCAGTTCCTTCTTGGATTTAAAATGACTTCAGCTTTATTCCAAAGGAGATCTAACTCATCACGTCAGACTTGTGGCTGAGTTATACACCTCAGATAATCCAGGTTGATCTCTGTCTGGCTGTGTGGTAAGATCAGCCTTCTGAAGTGTGTAAAGGACAGACTCTAAGCAACCCAGATGCATTTCCATACCAGGGACTTAATAGGGCTGCATTATCTGCAATTGCAATTGCAAAGGATTTTATCACAGAAGTAAATTTTTTTTTTGGATCCAAAATGAAGAACTTTATTAAAAATGGGTCCTTTAGTTTATTTATTTATTTATTTATTTTAACATTTTTTATTGATTTATAATCATGTTACAATGTTGTGTCAAATTCCAGTCACAGAAGTAAATTCTTAACCAGCCAAGGGAGGAGGGCCTGAACACCCCTCAGCCAAAAAGGAAAGGTTGGAAATTCACACAGTCTCTCTAGATGGACAGAGAAGACCTGTGCAGGGTGTTTTAGGTTTCTGCTTTGACAGCTTTCACACAAACTTAGAGCAGCATAGCTGCCTTCACACATCCTGAGAGACTCAACAACTGTCAGGATATCCGTTCTCAGTGTAGCAATCAACATAGAACGCTGGTTGTAAAGGAAACCACACCCAAACCTACTACCTTTCTAGCAAAGAAGCAGAACAAAAGAGAACTTCCTGCTAATATTTCTCAGGGTGGTGTTCTTAAACTAGCATGCAGACTCCATTTAAATTGTGGGTGTTTGTGTGTGTGTGAGTGGAAGGCGTCATTTACTCAACATCTAAAACAAAGGATAATGGATTTCCATCGTTGCTTTTGGAATCATGTCTTAGTCCCTTTACTTCCTCCTGGTAGAAAGCTGTCAAGATAGGAGTTTCTGTTTTGAGGTTCAGTGAGTGCTCATGCGCATATCAGCTACTGTAGAACTTTGTGCAGGGATTCCCTCTGATCCCTTTGCCCAGCTGATCAGCTCTGCATGAATCTTCCTTTACCCCCTCCTCCCTCCTGCTTTATTTTCTGGGCAGGTCATTGGTGTGCTAGGGCTGCAGGTGAGAACACACACATTTCTTTGCCTTTTTGGTTCTCTGGAATGTCTTGAAAATTTATCATCTCTCTTTTGATTGGATTAGGATAGAGCGCAGTTAAAACTTTGTAACTCTGGTCCTTCCCTTGGTTGTTGGTATATTGAGTGCCTTGTTTGAAAACACACACACACACACACACTCTCCCTAACCCATCCTCATCCTTCTTTTGCTGCTCTGTTTTCTTCCTTTCTTTTATTGCTAACTTCTTGAAAGAATAGTCAACACACACTCTTTCTCCATTGACTCATCTCTTAGTCACACCAATGCATTCCAGGGTGGCTTCAGCCTCCATCACTCCCAAGAAACTGTTCTTGCTGGAGGCACCATGAGACTCTTTGAAACGAGATTTTTAGTTTCTCATCATTTCCCCCATATGATCTTCTTTGTTTGGTATATCCTTTTCCATGTTGGCAGTGAAGGCCTAGTCATCCCTCAAGACCAGACTCAGTTATTACCTGCTAGTGTGAAGGCTGCTCTGTGGAGCAGGTGAAGGATGAAGAAACGGGGGGTATCACCATTTGACATCATCTTTGATTCTTCCTTTATTTTTTCACCTACTTCCAACTGACCTTCAGACTCACCAAGTTATACTTTAGAAATATCTCTCAAATCCGTTGCTGCCTCTGCATTTGCACTCCTAGCTTTAGACCATGTCTTGACAGTCTCTTCACCAGACTGTTTAATCTTCCTGCCAACATTTTCTCTCTAGTTCATTTCCTCCTCAACCTATCCCCAAGACTTCTATTTAAAAAGAAAATCTGTTCATGTCACTCTTCTCCTTAAAAACTCCTACTGGTACCCCTGCATCCTCAGGACACTTGCCCAGACCTCTCAGTGTTCCTTCCTGGTCTGATACCAGCCTACCGTTCCGGCCGTGACCTAGCTTTCACTTGGAGTTTGTACTCAGGCTTCCTGCTCAATATTCCTGAACACATTGTCCCTTTTTATCCATCCAACATGTCTGGGGACTCCTCCACCTGTCTGTTCCCATCCTGCCAACACTTATTGTGTATGCAGTTAGATAGTGTTCAGATGTTCACTTTCTGATTATTTATTCTTTTCTGTGGGCTCTACCACAGTTTTATTCATCTGTATGTTTTCATAACCAGATTCATACATTGATTGAGAAGCCCTTGTCCCTGAAAAGATTATGGTGCCCACCACCCCATTTGTAATTCAATATCAAAATAATACTAGCCAATCTGCACTTTTTCCCAGGAGTACTTAAGAAATGTTTTTCTTTTAAAATATCAAATATAAAATTCTCTTAAAATATTTTCTTCTCATTTCTTTGGTGCTCCTGTTTTGCTGCTAACCTAATCTATTATATCTTGACAGTATGAGTTAGAGGCGGTATGACTCAATGGTTAATAAGACAAGCCTTGGTATCAGACAACCAGGGTTCAAATACCAGCTCTGCCACTTATTGGCTCTGAGATCTTGGACAAGTAACTGAACCTCTCTGTGCCTCAGTTATTTCATCTTTAAAATGGAGATTATAATAGTATTTACCTCATTGGGTTTTTTCTTTTTCTTAACAGCATTATTGAGATATAATTCACATGCCAAGTAATTCACCCATTTAAAGTGTACCATTCAATACTTTTTAGTATATTTATGGATTATATACAATTATCTTTACAGTTGAAACTGAGCAGGACCCTTTGGGGGCCTTCCTGGGTACAAAAGCCTTTCTGTGCCCCCGTTTCTTATTTGAAGAAAAAGGTTTTAGTCTCCTAAGCCTTCCCTGAGTTCCAAAGGGCCTCACTGGATTGTTTTGAGGTTAATATACAACAAGCACTTTCAGGTAGTGAGTTCTGAATATTTGGTATCTGGTATTAATAGAGACTTACTCGGTAGTGCCCCTCCTCCCATACTTTCGAAGTCCTCCTGGATGGACGCTCCACATTAGTCATTAATGCGAAACCTGGTGCCTAGTGGCCACACAGGTAAAGTTTAATGAATGAATACGGATAATCAGTAGGCAAGTAAATGTGACGCCATTGATTCTCTTGCAGACCTCTCTAAGTTTCCTGGCATATCTGGAGAAACAAGCCCAAATAGATGAAGATAATCTGACGTTACTGGAGGATCTCTGCAAAAAAATTGTACCTAACCTTACGAGAAAGATAGAAAAATATAAAAGAGAGAAAGGTAACTAGATTATGCTTGCTTGTTCACTTGCTTGCATCAGACCATGGGAATTTTTAAACCGACTGGCCGTGTATGATGTTTACTCATTATTCTGATAGTATTCTCTTTGGAAAGCCAGAAATCCCCCCATTTGTTCATTTTATATATGTGTATACACACAAAAAGATATGTACCTATATAGCTGATGTACAATGTATGTTTCAGGTTTACAGCACAGTGATTCAAAAACTTTAGATTATAGTCCATTTATAGTTATTGTAAAGTAGTGGCCATAGTCCCTGATCAACACATATTTATTGAATGCATACTTTGTACTAGGCACAGTTTTAGAAGTTGGAGGTACAGCAAGGTATACAGCAAAGGTCCTGCCCTTTGGAGCTTCTACTCTAGTGGGGGAGAGTGGTCTTCTTCTGGTTCTTATATGGGAATGAGAGTAACAGCAATTGTTTGAATGAAATAACACACAAAAAAAGGAGACAGGAGGACACAGAGGTTAAGAATGGGGTCTACGGAGTCAGAGTGCCAGGACTCCACTTGTTCATGGTGCAGTGGCCCTTTCCTCAGCTGTTCTATGTCTCCCTTTTCCCATCTGTGAAGTGGGGATAATAATAGTACCTACCTCATGGGGTTTTTTGAGGATTGAATGGGGGAATTCCTATAAAACACATGTCTGGCACAGAGTAAGCTTTCAACACACATTGCTATGAATCTGTTTATTAGAAAGGAAAGTCACAAAAACTTTCATATCCTCAGAAATTACTATCAGAGAAGACTTTTTTTTCTGTTCTGTCTTTAGTCTGTCTTGTAAGGGTTGTATTGTTGTGGCATTATTTAGAAGTAGCTGCCCAGGGCAGAATCAAACTTGGTTGCCTCATCGTGTGTCAGTATGGTAAATATTTGTGTTTTTTCCAAGTCCATTTCTTCACTATTAAACAAGAACTAAAAGTAAACACTCACGAATGTATTCGTGAACTTTTTTGCCACACCCGCATTTTGACTCAGAGACTCAATGCAGTGTGCAAATTTATCTGGTCGAAAAAGAAACTATCCAAAAGGAAAGTTCTAAGAATTCTATTAATACAAAATGAGATGAACTGTTGTTAATTTGAGAAAATCTCGAACAATAATCAAAGCAATGAATAATTTAATGTATAATTTAAGTAAAAGTTATGAAGAATAAAAACAGTTCTAACCATCAAGTTATCAAGCAATAAATAAAAAGCAGGAAGTTGATACTGAAAGTATTTTTGAAACACTCACTTGAACTCTGAATGCTGAGATTTTTTTCTGATCATATCATCATTTTCCTGTGAAGTAGTAACCCATACAAAGTAAACATAGGGCAGGTAGCCAGATTATTTTGGATATTTGAACTCTGGAGAAGGCACTCTAATTTCTACGTAGTAAATGTTTACATTCCTCTCAGTGAGTCTTGAGGACAGAGCTTCACAACAGAATTCAAATTTTGATTTTTTCTTTCCTACAACCTACCTGCTCTGTGATCTCTTTTGGATGATGAAGGGAGAAAAATTGTTTTCCTTTACTACTACTACTTACACTAACATTTCTGGAACACCTTTGACCCCAGATGTGTGCATTTTTCCACACCAAGCAGTTCTCCAACTGGGTATATTATGGTTTAATTCAGTTCTGACACTAACCAGAGTTATCGCAGATCCTATAGCTTAAGGACTCAGTCTCTCAAGCCTGCCCCCACCAGTCACAAGTAGTGGGTCCGCAGATTACCCACAGCTTCTGTTCAACTTGGTTACAAACCGGGAGTTCCCAAGACCCCCTCCTCAGATTTGACAATTTGCTAGAACAGCTCACAGAATTTAGGAAAATAGTTTACCTACTAGGTTACTGGTTAATTATAAAAGGATACAACTCAGGAACAGCCAAGTGGAAGAGATGCTTAGGGGAAGGTATAGAGGGTCACCCTCTCAGCACCTCCCAGCATGAGTTCCCCAACCCAGAAGCTCTCTGCACCCCTTCAGGCAGAGGTTTTTATGGAGACTTCATTATGTAGGCACAGATGATTAAATCTTTGGCCATTATGATTAATTCAACCTCCAGCCCCTGCCCCCTTTCCTGAGTTCTGGGAGTAGGGCTGAAAATTCCAACCCTCTGATCTCTTCTTTGGGTCCCCCAGCAACCAGCCCCCAACCTGAGGCTGTCCAGGAGCCCCCAACCACTGGTCATCTACTAGCATACAAAATGTCACCAATCACTTCTGAGATTCTAGGGTTTTAGGAGCTGTGTGCCAGCAAAAGGGGCATATATTTATTTATTATTTATATTTATTTATTATTTTGTGTATATTTATTATTATATCATAGGTGTCAATTAATATTTAAATTTTGACTGCCTACAATCCTCTGGGAGTTTGGGCCTAAATCTGACATTTAGGATGAAGGACTGAAAAGATAGTGGGTATGCAGACTTCAGACTTTCCTGTAAGTGAAGTGAGCCAAATGCTAAGCCCACTGCACCTGATTAGGGCACGAGCTCTGTTTATGGACCACCTGAGTATCTTTCTGAGTTTTCCTGAGCCTTGGTGTTTGTTTTCATATTTTAAATATACTATTAAAAATAGTGTATAATAATTACAATAAAATTAAATAAAAATTCAAATAATGGCAATAATACAAAGTGTACAAGTAAAATCTCTCTCTCCTTTTGCTTCCACTGCCGATCCATCCCCCAGGGACAATCACTGTTTAGAGTATATTTGTGTAGCTTTTCTTCTATATAGAGATAAATGTGTGTGTGTGTGTGTGTGTGTGTAGATAGGTAGATACATATGATACATATTGAAGTAAGATCATGCTAATCATATTCCATAACTTGTTTTTTTTTCCTGCTTATTATATCTGGCATTTCCCCATGTATATAATACAGATATAGCTCATTCTTATTAATGGTTCCATAGAAATAGATTTTATATATAATATATTTATTTAATCAACACTTTTTAAACTTTATTTTTAATAAAAAAGCCTTTTTTTTTCCAGTGGAGGTACTAGGGATTGAACCCAGGACCTCGTGCATGCTAAGTATGTGCTCTACCACTGAGCTATACCCTCCGTCTTATTTAATCAACACTTTTAAATGATTTTTCTTTTTCTTTCTTTCCTTTTCCTTCCTTCCTTCTTTCTTTTTCTGTTTGCTATTACAGTCTGAGTTCTGGTTTTATTTCTTGAGATAATGCTTTTGTAATGTTTACTTAGCAATTAGAGGACACATTAAGCACCATAAGTTCGGAAATAGTATTTAGTATATGGTCTTTTTAAGGAACTAATTAAATTACAAAAATAAGAAAAATAATAAGGAATAAAATATGATAATACAAGGAATGAAAATATAATGATAAATAAAAATAATTTATAAATTCACATTTTTGTCTGGGTATATATGTAGACCTCTTTAAGAAATGCCACTACAAATTTGCAGGTACCTGTAAAATAACTTCCTTTGATGATGGGTTATCTCAGATTGCTACTAGTCAGAAGGTGATTTTTGTTTTCCTATACGATTCTATTTCCAGCGTCCCAGGTAGTGACACCTCCGGTAGCCACGGGAACTGAGTCATTGCATCAAGGAGAAGAGGAACTATTTTCCCACTCAGACATTAAACAATTACTTGGAGGCTTATCGGTAGGTTCATTGGTGTTTTGGTAAGTGTTTAACCACCAGCCCTACTCTCCAATGCCAGCAAAAGCGAGGGGGAGGAGAGAGAGAGAGAGAGAAACTGAGGACCTGATTTGTAGCATTTGGTGTAAATACTCCCACCATGGCTGATTTCCAGTTACCAACGTGGCATTAACTGGATTGCAGACATTAACTGAAAAGCTAACGATTGGCTCTCACTAGCTGGTTTGAGCTGACTCCAGTACACCACTGGTTTGCGTTGAAACGGTTCTGTTCTTATCCATGGGACTTGATCAGGGCTAGCTTCATGGGTGTACAGCCTGTACAGAGCCCATGCTTCTTTAATGCTCAGCTGCCATTGTTTTCAAATTCTTAATAATGTATGAACAAGGGGCCTCACATTTTTATTTTGCACTGGGCCCCAGAGGACATAAACTGGTCCTGTAGTATCCAGCAATGGAAGGGTGGGTCGAGCAGGACACATGGGGAGAATCTGCATTCTGTTCCTCACAACTTGATCGTGACCCTTGGGAGACACATGACATTCTTCCCTGAGATTTATGTTTCTTCCCAGCTGACTTCGCAGATCTATTTTGCCAACATCTGTCAGCATCAATGAGGTTAGTTTGGCCCTGGAATATTTTGCTTTTGGTTTTGGTTTTTAATTGTGGTAAAACACACATAACTTAAAATTTACTATCTTAACCATTAAAAATTGTTTTAAAAATTGCTGTAAAATGCAAATAACATGAAATGTACCATATTGACCATTTTTAAGCATATAGCATTGTTAAGTGCATTCACATTGCTGTATAACCAGAAATCTTTTCATATTGCAAAACTGAAACTCTGTGTCCATTAAACACTAACTCCTCATTCTCCCTCCCACCAGCCCCTGGCAAACACCGTTCTACTTCCTGTCTCTATGAATGTGACTATGCTGGGTACCTCTTATGAATGGAATCATATAGTATTTGTCTTTTTGGACTGGCTTATTTCACTTAGTATAATGTCCTCAAGGTTCATCCATGTCAGAATTTTCTTCATTTTTAAGGCTCAGTAATATTCCATTGTGTGTATATACCACATCTTGTTTATCCATTGATCCATGGATGGACACTTGGAGTCCTTCTACTGTTTGGCTAGTGTGAATAATACTGCTATGAACATGGTTATACAAATATCTCTTTGAGACTCTGCTTTCAGTTCTTTTGGGTATATGCCTAGAAGTGGGGTTGCTGGATCATATGATCATTTTATACTTCTCTTTTTGAAGAACTACTGTACTGTTTTCCATAGCGGCTGCATCATTTGGCATTTTCACAAACAAAGCATGAGGGTTCCAGTTTCTCCACATCCTTGCCAATGCTTGTTATTTTCTTGGTTTTTGATAGTAGCCAACCTAATGGGTGTGAGTTTCACTGTAGTTTTGATTTGCATTTCCCTAATGATTAGTTATGTTGAGCATTTTTTCATGTGCTTGCTGGCCATCTGTGTATCTTCTTTGGAGAAATGTCTATTCAAGTCTTTTCTCCATTTTTTAATTGGGTTAAAGTTTTACTTTTTATTCTTAAAATTTCTTTGATGGCTTATTTACTCCTTTCATGGTGCCATACTTTTACAATTAATTTTCCTCATTTTTTTGCGTGTGGTATTACTTCATGATTAAACTCAAGCTGTATATTCGGGCCAGAATATTACATCAACGATACTGTGCCTTTCTCAGGGAGTCCCATCTGGAGGCACGTGGTGTTCATCAGCCCTCCAGTCATGATTTTAATTTTGACTATTTGGTCCAGATGTCTTATTTCTTTACTAGATAGTTAATTTTATACAGTGACTATTTTTTCCCTTGGAACTAATAATCAGCTGGTAGGAAGACATTTTAAGACCATGAAATTATCCCACCCCACATCAGAAGTGTCTCCCTAGATTGAGCATCCATTGATGATTCTTGTGTGGTTCAGTATTTACTGTGTTGGCTGAAAAGCAATGATTTTCACACTCCAGTATTCTCTCCACAGTTATGTCAGCACTCAGGATCCTACAGCAAGCAAGAGCCCTCCTTCCTCCTCAAAAGTTATTTTGCCCACTAAATGTAATTTCTCCCCTCATCCACTTTTTTACCTTAGTTTTGTTGCTCAGAGACTGACTTGCAAGTGGAAACACACACACACACACACACACACACCCCGGACATCCCCCTTTGCCTACTGGAAACTGAGTAGTTTCTAAGGGGTGTGGCTCAGCCTTATCTCTGAAGTGCTGCTGCTTTGCTGCTGTTGGATGAGTCTGGCCACGGCCAGAGGAAGACAAGCACTTGCAGTGGTGGTGCTGGGAGTGCAGGAGGCTTTGGGGGACATCACCTCATGTTACATACGTTCTCATCACCCCTCAGGTTTGGGAGGTGTCTTAAAAGTTATCTAGGCAACCCTGCCTCTGTCCATGATGTGACAGATAGACTAAAATTTGGTAAATTATCTCATGCTTCATATGTACCTGACAGGTCTTCTTATATAAAAGAGCATGGCCAACAATTGCATTTAATGAGAAGAAACTGTCGACAGAAATAATCAATAAACAATCTATAATAGGAATAGAAAAGAGTTTTATTTGAGCCAAACTGATGACAATAGCCTGGAAGACGGCCTCTCAGATAACTCTGAGGAACTGCTCTGGAGAAGCATGGTTTTCAGCACAGTTTTATGGCTTGTTAGAGTAACAAATATCAAACAAGTCAGGGATACTTTCCTTCAAGGTTTCAGAAACAAATAAAAACCAACAAATAATAGACCAGCACATACACAGTGAGTCAGTGTGGACTTGGGACCTGGGAAGGGAGTTTTATCATGGAAGAAGTACCAGCATTGGTGCCCCAGGAAAGGAGGCATTTAATCTTTATTACTAACCATGGACATTCTTTACTTCTGGCCAATGCATCCTTTTCTTTAATAATTAAAGTAGATAAATGATGTGTGTTTGATAGACCACAAACAGGCTGTTCTAGTTATTATAAAATCCAAGTTAATTCATATATAAGCCAGATT